TAATGTATAATTGAAGATTATAATTTTATTATGACATAGCAAGAGAATGTAAAGGGAGAATATTTCATAATCACTAGTAGGCGGAAAAAAAAGTAAGAGAAACACCCCAAGAAAAGCAAGTAATCAAAATTCAAGTTTGGAAAATTTTAGAGCAAGGAAGAAATTATCAAAATGTTATAAAGAGACCTTGCCAAAGTTTTTCTACTTTTGAGCTAGTGAAAAACTTCAAGCAAAATCTCCCTTTACAAATAAGAACATATGTTTTTGTAATTTGGATATTATACATTCTTTGTACTTTTTGTCATCTTTTATCCCTTTTCTTTACTTAACTGATCATTAAACACTAAAACCCCATTACAACCCTAATCAAAGACCTTTTAATTTCTTCTAAGTGTGCTGCATTTAAATTGTGGAGAGAGGATGAATATTTTTGCTTATGGGAATATTGAATCAACATCAATTTATTCAAAGGTTAATGATGTTTTGCAAATTCATACTTTTATTTGTCATAATTTGAACATTTACTGGTGTTAAAGATCTTGTTAACTTTTGCTTATATTAAGGAATGTATTCTGTTAAGGATTGAGTTTTTGCTAAAATATAATTAGTGGAGGGAACAGTTGATTCATTCTAATGTTACTAAATTTTGATATTTTTGAATTTGTAAGTAATTATGTCTAACCATATTAAGCTAGCTTTGTTAGTTTCGTTTTTGTTTTACTTTTGTTGCTCGAGGACAATTAATGATTTAAGTTTGTAGAATTTTGATAGGCTTTATTTTTATAGTTATTTTTTATAAATTTTATTTAGGTTTTCATTTAGTTTTTATCTATTTTTGTTTTTCAATAAATTTTCCTTGAATCACATTTCATTTGATTTTAAGAAATTTAATAGGATTTTGATAGGAAACCAGCCAAAAGTTCAGAAAAGAATGAAGTTAAGCAAAACTATCAAAGGTGAGCAGCCCTAGGTGTGCAATCCAGCACCCCTGTGCAGAATTCAAGGGAAAACACCATGGAGACTCAGAGAGTAGCACGCCCAAGTCGTGCTATAGAGCATGCCCAAGTCGTGCTAGAAAGCACGCCCGTGCTACAAGGAAGTCTTTATCCAAGAGTGTGCTCACCTGAGCACGACCCGTGCTGCATCCACCCTGAAGACTCAAAGCCTAGCACACGCAAACCGTGCTAGACAACACACCCATGCTGATTACTTGACTTCATATTGGGCCAAAAACGTCAACTCTAGCCCATGCCGCTTGCATAGACCCGCATAAGATACTTTTCTGACGTGCCAATCAAGTTTAAATTCTATCAAGCCTCTGGAAGAATTCTAAATTGGAAGAAATACAATGCCTGATCAGTTTCCTACTTCAAAACGATTTCTTCCTCGTTAAAGATTTTATTTCCTAATCAAATTCGGAGATTTACCAAGGATTCTATTTAAGGAGAGAGACTAGCTAAGTTAGTTTCATCTCTTATTCTATTGTTTTCTACATAGTTTTCTTTTTCTTCAAAATTTCTTCAAAATTTCAAGTGCTCAAGTTGGTGTCAAGATTCAAGGAAGCCGCTTAAACCAATTATTGACTAGTTTTTATTTCTAAACTCTCTTTTGTTTATTATTCTTTATGGGATTATTTACAAATTTTATTGAGTTTGATTTATTTACTATGTCAAATTAAATCTTTTTACTAAGGATATGATATAGCTTAAATTCAACTCCTATTTATAATATTAGATTTGATTTTCTTTATTCAAATAAAGTTTATTATTAATCTTAATGCTTTCGAGCAGAGTTTTTCCCCTGGATTGATTTATTTAATTAATCATTGTCGAGAGAAGGATTTTTTATATGAACAGAGTAATAAACTTCATGAGAATAACAACTTGATGTAAGAGCTAAATGGTTTGACTTGTAAGAGGTTTTCATAAAATTAAAAGCCTTAATTTGTAAATTCCTGAATAATCATAGAACCTAATGATTTAATTTATGTTTGGTTGCGCCATTGAGAGATGGATAATTGAATTGGATTAAAATAGCTAATAAAACATCGAGAGAGCATATTAGAGAATTTAAGGTTATTTCTCCTTCTTGAATAATTGAAATTGATTATCAAACTAACTTTGTCAACCGAGCGTTTTCATAAAATTAAAAGCGTTTAATTTGTAAATTCCTCGCAATAATCATACGAACCTAATTGATTATAATTTATGTATTGGAATTGCAGGCCATTGAGAGCAATGGATAATTGCATTGGCATTAAAATAGCTAATTAAAACATCAGCCGAGAGGCATATTAGAGAAATTAAAATAGCTAATAAAACATCGAGAGAGCATATTAGAGAATTTAAGGTTATTTCTCCTTCTTGAATAATTGAAATTGATTATCAAACTAATAGAATAAACGGGATAGAATTAAGTGAAGTCCAATTCCTAGTATCTTTTAAACCTTAATTTCCTTTCAACAACTTCTTGCTTGATTTCATTCTTATTGTTTTTACTTTACTTCTTTTATTTTCAAACACATTCTCTTTATTGTCGTTTAAATAATAATAGGTTAACACAATTTTGGTACTTGATATACAATTTTCGTGGAACGATACTCTATTCACTTTTTTATTACTTGTTTGTGATTTTATACACCTGCAAAAAAGCTGTCACCGTATGTTGATGCAGTATTTGTAACGCTCGGTGACTTATAGATCAAGGTTCAAGGTGGGTGGTTGGTACTGGAGCCCATATTCGCATTTGGAAGGATCGTTGGGTCCTTACACTTCAAGGATTTAAGGTCTTTTACTGTGAATGAATTGATTGATCATGATACGCTTTCGTGGCGCAACGACCTCTTAAATACTATTTTTTGTCCTGCTGAAGTTGCAGCAATAGCTACTATTCCTCTTAGCCCAAGATGTACAGCTGATGTATTCGCATGGCCAGGCAATAATAATGGCGTTTTTTCGGTACGGTCGGCATACCATTTGGCTTTTGCAGCTTTTGATTGTGATGTAGGTGAATCATCGAATGCTAGCCATGATCAGACTCTCTGGAAACGCTTGTGGAAACAGAATGTACCACCTAAAGTGAAACACTTCTGCCATCGAGGGTGTAAAGGGAACCGGCCAACAAATGAAAAGCTGGGGAGAAGGGGAGTCAGTCTTGATTCTTGGTTTTCTCATTGTGGGGAGGGTGTGGAAACAGATGCACATATTTTGGTTGAATGCCCGATAGCAAGGGAGGTTTGGATGTTGTCGCCGCTTTGGTTAAGGGATGAACGAGCTTCTAATGGCTTCAAGGATTGGTCTGCGGAGAAAATATTAAATTTTGAACCGCCTCAAATAGAGATTCTTATTTTAGTGTCTTGGTCGATTTGGAGGTCATGAAATGTAGCTATTTTCCAGAATTCAGTCCTTTCAGCAACTCAGATTGTGGAGCAGGCGTTGTCTTTGTTGTTCGACTATCAAAGCTCAAAGGAATTACCCGCAACTCGGTTCCCTAGTATGGCTAGTTGTCGCAGATGGCAACCCCCTCCTCTTTTTTCGTGAAGATTAACTCTGATGCTGCAGTAAGAGTTGTAGGAGGAACTGGGTTTGGAATGTTAGTTGCGACTCTTGTGGGCTGGTTATGGCAGCTAGTAATAAACGAGTTCAGTTGTCTCTTTCCCCGGAGGAGGCTGAGTTGGAGGCAACGCTGTTTGCTTTACAACAAGCACTTGAAATGAGTTTTAGTAAGTCATACTTGAATCCGATTGTCTCACACTCGTCCAGCACATTGATAGCAGCAGCATTCCGTCTTCTGAGTTTGGAACCCGCTTGCTTAATCTGAAGTTACTTGCTGAATCCCTTGTCTCTTTTAGTTGTCTGCGTTCTTTTAGAACTTGTAATAAGGTAGCTCATGCAATGGCTCAAGAAGCTCTCTCTAGCAATGTTGAGGAGTTGGTTTTCATAGAGGAAGTACCATCCTCTGTTAACTCTTTTGTTTTGGAAGATTCGGCTTCCCTTGTTCTATAAAGTTTACCATTTTATTCTCAAAAAAAATTAATTTGAATAAATTTTTAAATGAGATTATGTATAACTTAACTTTATTTGGAAATTGAGAATAGATTGAAACATAATTTTGCATTCTCTTTTTTTTTTTTTTTCTGTATTGTTTAAAAAAATTAAAAAAAAATAAAGAAAAACCCGATTGAATCAGAGTCCGCGACCCAGTTGTCACGCCGATTCAATGTCCAATCCAATTTTAAAAACATTGGTTTATCTTTGTTAGTTGTTACACGATAGCAATAGTTTATAGGTTATTACAGTGTAACATATAAATTTGCGCCAGAATTCCAATAGTGGCATGGGAATCTCAACTATAGATTGCAAAATTGTAAGTGTAATAATTGCACCTAGTACATTTAAATTTGTGCGTAGAAATCTCAACAAAAAAGAAAAAATTATTATGATATTATTTTATTTATAGTGTAACATTTAACAAGAAGAAATGAAAGAGATTATTTATCCCGTAAAACTGTTGGACAACATAAAAGAAAATTAAAATTTATTACTTTTATTGCTGTCATAATATAACAATGCATTTGTTACATTTGTTACAACATATGCCTTTGAAATATCAACAAAACACCATTTCTATAAATATTTTTAAGGAAACACCATTTATGTAAATATTCTTTTTTCAAAACACCATTTTTTGTAAAGATCCAATTAATTGATTCAAGTTTTCACCTAGATTGCATGCAAAAATTATACATGATATATTACAAAATTTTGGAAGACCAATCAATGTCTTAAACTCAATCAGAGTCAGCCAATCAAATGGTGGTCTAGTTGATCTCCTTACTTATGTAAAGAATGAAAGATCTCAAATTCAAATCCTTTTAACCACAGGTGTTTTCACCAATTTAGTGAGCCAAAGAGATAGCTACCTATGTTATATAGCCTACAATGTTATTTCGACCTATAAAAGCTTCTAATGAGTTCAAAAAAAAACTCAATCACAGTCCATTTGAATAAACAACACAAATCCAGAACATTCTTCTGGTTTAAGAAATTTGTACTGTAAAGGTTTACATAGAACTTCAAGTTAAACAAATAAAGAAGTCTAATCCCCACTCAACTTGCAAGAATATCCACAATTCAGAAATTCTCAAGTAAAATCCCCGTCTTGCAAACACAAAGACGTTACAGTTTTTGTTAAGAGATAGTTTTTGTTAAGAGATGCTCAAGCGTTTGAGAAGCAAATGTTTCAAACTTTATGATCACAGCACTTACAAGATGCTTTGTAAGCTCTTAATGAATCCTCTAACCATCCAACACAATGTAATTGCAGAAAACTATATCTACATATATGTTACTTCCTGGCAACTGCTTCACCTATACAAATATTCCTCATGCGAACAGAGGAAAACAAATTTAACTTGCAAAATATCAGAATGTTGTCTTTTTGAGTGTTAGACCATCTTTTGCTTTCTTGTTCTCTCTAAAGGAGAAAAGGGAAACTAGAAGAAACAACTGGGAATTTTATGTGCAAATTAATCCTTACTACTGATCCATCCAACTGCAAAACATTGACTTCAAGCCTATAGCCTGAACAAAAAATGGCAGAAATAATTTCAGAAATAGATATGATTTCAGTCAAGCAAACCTAATAAGTTAGCTACTTACGTGAACATTTGAGGGCGGCTACGAGAGAGCTGAGGTCGCTTTATTGGGGAGAGAATCAAGTTTCTTAATGTCATTGACGTATTGCCAGGTCCACCTCCGAAAGCAGGGCGAGCACCAGGTCTCCTGTTCCCAGCATCAACTGGGATGGCTGCTTTTTTTGCAGGTGAGCCACCAGAAATTTCAAATGGACCAGAATCAGAACTTTTCTGTCTTGCTGGCCACACATCTTCCCTAGGCCCTGGAGTTGGAGGATTGAAAACCGACCAATCTGCACAATGTAAGTCAATTGGCTTTGGAAATTCTAAATTGAAAGGGGATAATTACATTAAGGTAAAATGTCATAAAGCCAAAAGTTTTCACTGTTTTAAAGCTTTAAAACAGCTTCTAATCTAAAGATGACTGCCTCTTTGCAAACATTAACAGGCACCTACATTACCCTTTTGTTACAGTAAGAAGAAAAGGGTTACCTTTGTGGATAGGGTCTCTGTTATCCATCATGGTAGCAGCTGGGCTAGAGAAAAAATCAGGCTCATTTCTTGAATAGAAATTGCCGGTTGGTTGGATGGCTGCTCTTTTTATTGATTCGTACTCATTCCTCAATTGATCATACATCTCATCGAGCTTCCTCTTTTGCCTGGAATTCAAATACAGCAGTGTTTAATGGAGTTAAATTCTGAAAGCTAACCTTAAAAATCAACAAAATAATTAAAACCTTTTGGACAAAATGATAGTGACTGACCTGGACTTCTCGGAAAATTTTTCTTGGAGCTCTTGCTTATCCTTGGACAAGCTCTCAATCTCCTGTTCCATCATCTGACACCTTTTGGCCATTTTTTGATATGCAGTATGGACCTGCTCCAGTTTTTCTGTGAACTTTTCTTGCATGGCCTCACATTTTTGCCTACATTGAGCTACAATTCTGTTCATCCTGTACTGCATCTCCAGCTCCTTTTGCCCAATGTAGAACATCACACTTCGATATGCGCTCTTCATTACTTGTTTCATTTAAGGAAATGCACATTTATTAAGTGTGGCAACTCTCTAAAATCAAAATAGACAGTTATTTTCCTTTTTTTTTTCTGAATCCTATTCTATTTGATAGCTTATGATCTTCAGGGGGAATTTTAATAATAAGCTGAAAATGTATTAGGACATTATAGAACATACATATTTGAGGAGATACTCCAGCCATGGCCATCTGCAACAAAAATGATTGTGAATCAAAAACAACAAACAATTAGAAAAGTAGGAAATTAGCATTATCATGAAAGAACAGAAAAAGTAAAGAGCCGTTTGTAATGCTCAGAGTGGAGTTCTTCCTTACATTTATCCATTCGTCATTTGGACTGATATCCACAGGTTTCATAAGGCTGACAAGTGGAAAAACAAAATTAAAAACTGAAATTGAAAAGAATGAAATGTTGGCAAAAGTTAAAACTGAAATTGTATGTTTGTTTGTGCAACAGTGACAGGAATCTTCATTTATCCGGGTGCCCTTGGAATAGTTAACAAAATATACAAAATAGAGATACAAGTAAGAAGATCGAACATTAGCATTAATATGAATTGATGGGCTTATTCTGCTTAGAAATGATTCTGTTTGCACGGAATTAAAACCTCATTTTACTATTCCTCCAATTATCCATGCCTGAAAATCACATACAATTAAAAAACCACATTTTAAATGATATGACACCAAAAAGCAACATAGTTTTAATTATCACGACTAGCAAAGGATTGCTCACCTCTTAGAGAGCACTTGATCACATATTGGACATGCTCCATCATTACCAAGAATCTTGCTTGCATCTTCAGTGCCTATAATCTTGTTAAGCAAATTATATATGCACGGATCATAATTACTCGCAAGAAGGAAGTAAAAGAAAATGTAAAAGTACAAAACCAAAAAAGCACAGAATCATATAATCTGCAGTTGGATACACAAGAGGTGACCACAAGTAGTGGTAATAGCTCGCCCTTCCAATTCTCGCCAGCACGCATTGCATCTCATTTCAAACTCAATTACAAGACTTCAATCCATAATTAATCTGGATCATGCATAAGAATCGTAATCTGCATCACTATTGAGTTTGACAAGAAAAGCAACTTTTGTCCCATTACAATGAGAACCAAAACTGCTAAACAACATGAACATAAATGATGCAACTGATAAATTTACTTACAGATTCATCCCTATAGCAATGCAATCAATCACAAAATCGTGAAATTGGAGGACTAATAATTACTTTTAGCTAAATTTAGATTTGAACAAACAGCACAAAATGTTAAAGGCATTAGCAGAAAATCATTGGCGGTAAATCCAGAAAATTCATTGAAATTAGAGAAGCTCAGTATACTTTTGGAGTGATTATACAGCTGTAAGTTCAAGCAAGTAATTCAAATAAGAGTTGCTCAATTTGGCAATTATTAATTGCGAGAATTCTTCTGTCTTCAGTCTGATCATAAGCGCACAATATTGTATAATACAAATTCGAAATCCCAAGGACAGATTAGTTACATCTATGGGTCTGTCAAAATGAAAGGTATAAAATATGAACCTTCTTCAAAATTTACTATAATTAGAGCAACTCGTGAAACACCAATTCACAATAGCAAATTCAAATCACACCCTATCAAATTTGCTTGACAATTGTACGTTCTTAATCTACATGTAAAAGGTAAAAGCTGGAGACAATTGTGTTGCTTCAAGACCAATTATGTATCTAAAAGTGAAAAGAAAGAAAAACACCATCAAATAGAGCAAAACCAGAACAGAAAGGTGAAAAAAAATAATTAAGGAAAAAAAAAGAGAGAGACAGACATATGAAGAAGAACATGCCCAGTGCTTGCCAAATTAGGGTTTTACCTGAAAATTTCCAGGCAAAAAAGCTCAATCAAACTTCAAATCAGCAACAGAAAAATCGAAAGAAGAAGTTGAAATTGAAATTTCCAGCGTCAAACCACAAAAAAACTAAGCAAGAAAACTGAAATACGAGCAGAATTTAGCAACGTTCAAAGCTACTCAACCTCAAAAATTAACTGAGATTCATTATGAAAAATTTAGATTTTGCTGTGTGATCTGATACAAGTCCTATACGAGAGATGGATGCGAAACACTAACCTGAATGTGAATGATTGAGGATGAGAAAAAATGGCGCGAAGATTTCTTCTTCTCTGTCTGTTTGATTTTTTGAGTGAGAGGATGGCGGTAATGCGATTTTGTCGTTCCTCGTTTTGAAAATGTTCAAATTTCGTCTAATTAATGGAAAATTTTATTAATGGTCAATCGGGTAGCTTACGCATAGAACAGAATTGAGCAGCGGAGATAGCCAGTATAAGGTTTAAACTTAATCATGTTCGACGGTGTCGTTTTAGAAAAATACTCCCATAAAACGGTGCCGTAATACAAAAAATACAATTATTATTGGGCCCCCAAGGTTTGTAATTTTTTTTTTAACCTCAAGTTTGAAATACTATAATATTAAGAAAATTATAGTTTTGTTAGGATTTTGATATTCTTTTCTATTTAGTCAATTTAAAAAATTCATAAAATTTATATTTTTCTTTCTAAGAGTACCCTCAAAGACATAACAGTCGTTTTTCAATTTTCCTTTTCTTTTCTTTGCAAGAATAATGAGGAAATACATCACTGTCAAGGCTACGGTGGTGAAATAGGTCCTAGGAAACTATTGAACCGAATCAATCCTGTTCAATGCTATTTTACATAATCGATTTTATTTTAAATTCAATTAAAAAATAAAATTTTTTTACTTTAGTTTAATTTTTATTGAACATACAAACAAATTTAAACTTATTTAAAAATAATTAAAATTGAACTACTAAATTGAATCAATTTGATGTAATATACACCTACAACATAATTTTGTTTTTGGCTTAATTACCAAAAAAAAAAAATTCCACCATTTATCTTTTTTTTTTTTTAATTCAGAAGATACCTTTGAGTAATACTTTATATTTATTTTTTATTATTAATTCTTGGATGTAGTCAGTAACATAGCTTCGGGACAAAGAAATCTACCTAGCTGGGACTATTGACAGTGTCAGTTACTAATTAACACTCTGTTTGGGAAGAGTGGATTTTAAGGGAGGAAAGAAAACGTGGATGGAAAATATCAAAGGAAATTAACTTTCTCCTGTTTGGGAAAGAGAGAAAATTTCAAAGGAAGGAATTTGGTCTTTATTTTCCTCCCGGGCCCACCTAACTCGATTCTATCCAAATCGGCGAGAAAAATGAGCAAACGAAGAGGGAAAATTTCACTGTGCAATGTGAAATTACAGAAATACCCCAAATATCTTGCTCTGAAAATCGGGTCCTACGTCTTTCCCCAAAACGAACATTGAAGACATTGCCAAAGGAGATAGCCAAGGGACGTCGCGTTACTGTCAAGCTTACGGTGCAGAAACGTCAGGCTAAGGTAACGGTGGTGCAATCGACGGCGGTTGGTGATCAAAGCACTCAAGGAGCCCAAGAGAAGAACACTAAAAATAGCAAGCACTCAAAGCACTCAAATTTCAGTTGTTAGCCATCGATCTTATATGTAGGATCATCATTCTTGGTGATTCTCTACCTTTTGAGGTGATCCAGTTGAATAATTTCTTGTTGCATGTTCTTGGATTTGGAGAAATCTGGGATTTTTTGGTGGTTGCTTCACTTCAATGGGTTCAAAGAGATCCTCTTAACGTATGACTAATGATTTGTATTTTGCAAGTCTTTATTGGATATGGTGTTTGGAATTTTTCAAAAGTGAATTGTGTTTATTGCTACTGAGGAAGGAAAAGTCATGATAATTGTTTTTTGTTTTTGCTAATGTGAAGGAAAAAGTGAAGATGATGCTTAATGGAATTAGATCTATAAATTCTGGAACAAATTTTGATGGTTGTGTTTTATTCTTTTTGCTAATGCTTCTCCAAGTCCCTTTTTATTAATTTATTATTCTATTACATATTTTCATCCCTGGTTTTGATTTCAATTTAGATTTGGATCTTTGATTTGCCTTGGATTAATTTACAAGAACCTGATTTTTGGGTTGGGTATATAAAAGGGAAAGATATTAGAAAAATCCAAAATTGACTATTTTCATTTCTCTCCTCATTTTTCCATTCTTCCGTTTTTTTTTTTTTTTTTTAAATCACCATTTTAAATTCTAGTAATGTTAAACAAATCCTAAATCTACCGTTTAGTTCAATAAAAGATATAAATTGAAAAAATTATAAGTAAAAAGTCATTGTGTATGTTTTTATCCCAATAATTAAATTTTAGTCAATAGAATATGAAATAAATTGTATACCTTCTTTATCTTTTCTTTTTTGACAGTTTCTTTTACATTGCTTTGCTTATTTGCATAGTATTATTTAGTTATCTATGTATGTATGAATTGTGTATTATAATTCTCAAGCAATTTTACGAATATTTTTTATTTAAAAAATTCTGTAGGATAGAAAGTTCTTTATTTTCATGCTTCAAGAATATGCAAGGTTAAAATGGTAAATTAATAATTATAATATATTTTTTCTAAGTCTTTTAAAACAAGAAAGATATAATATTTATTTTTTTACATCTTCCCCCTTTATTTTCCTTCCATTCCAAACATGGGAGAAAAAATAAGGAAAGAAAATAAAGAGTAAAATCTTTTATTATTTTTCTCTTATATTTTTTCCTCTTATTTTCCTTCCTCTCTTTTTCAAACAAAATGCAAAGGTCCATCAAGAGTCGTAAGAAAATAAATTCTTTCAAACATATAGTGAAATAAGAAGAAAATACATAAACGGCAAAAAAAATGAATGCATAAATTCTAAAATTAAAAATAAACGGCCAAAAAATGAATTAACCAACTTTGGACAAAGATGTAATTGACAAGAAAATTAAATTTGAGATAGTAATTAAAAAAATTAAACAAATTAGTTAAATTTGTCACGCGTAAAAGTTCAGATTTTGTTTTTTTATTTATCCTTTGTCTTTTAGTTCATATCAATTAGATTCAATTTTGAACCAAATCCAAATTTACTTTGCAAAAAATTTAAAATTTTAATTAAAAAATCAATTTAGTTTAATTTTTATTAAACTTAAAAAAATTGATTTATTCAAACCAAATCAAACCAAATCGATTTATAATTTTATATAATATTCGGTTCGATTCAATATACGCCTAAAAGATAATCTGCCTTCTAGTTTCGATTGAACCAAAACGACCTAATACCCAACCTTCACCCTCATAAAAATATTACTAATATATCAAATTCAAAAAGAAAATAAACAAATCAATTGATCAAAACCCAACAAAACAAAATTTCATTATACAAGAATTAAGAAAATATATATATATATATAAAAAAAAAACCCACTGTCTGATCTTCATATTTACATCATCTAATTCTCTACATAAAACAGTAGAAAAGTACTATAATCTTCTAATATTGGAGCACCAAGCGTCTACCACAAACAGAGCAATAAAACTTTCTCTTAGTCTTGAAATAGAAAGGCAAAAAACAGAACCTCAACTGACTCTCAACATCCATAGCCTGAATCATCCCTCCACAGTACGGACATGCCCCAGGCGCCGACTGCCTCGCGATCACTCTCTCGTCTTGATCGCAAACAAACACTAAGCACATCTTCTTTTCAGATCAAGGAATAAATGAATTCGAGTTTTGAATGATTTTTGGTATTTATATATTGTTTTACTTATGGGAGTTTTAAGAAAGGTTTCTGATTTCCAGAGAGGTGTAGATGTTTGATTGAAAGGGAAGGGAGGTAGAAAGAGACCAGTGCGCGTGTTGATCCAGAAAATTCCAATCTAACCGACCTTGTCTTGATGCCTTTCGGTTTATTTTATTCTTAACTCGATATAAGAATTTTTGTACGCGTTTGTTGGCAAGAATATTCCACGTATTGCGTGTTATTATCTGAATAACTAGTCTTAAGTAGGGATGGTAATTTTAGCCGTCCCACGGCTATCCGATCAAATCCGATTTTAGCCGATTGAAATAGTGATTAAATGGGTTTTAAAATGAATTTCGATAACATTTTTAGTGTCCTCAGCGACATGGATACACTACGCGTTATCCATTTAATAAATATTTAAAAAATAAATAAAAATTTATCTTTTAAAAACAATTATATATTTCTATCTTTAAAACAAAACAATTAATATATTAATAATATATTAAGTATGAATATTAATTGAATTCTTATTATATTTAATATATGAATTATAATTAATTCTATAATTATACTCTCTTCTTTCTACTTAAACAGTAATATTTGATTTTTTCATAAAAGATTTAAAAAATAATTGGAAAACATTGATTTTTTAAAAATATACTGTATAATTTTAAAACTTTCAATCAATTTTGCTTTAAAACACTTAATAAATATGGGCAAATTCGAAAAAAAAATCAATGCACTCTCAAAATTTTAAATAAGCATTTAAAGTTGAACAAGTTAAAATGCCCATTTGCTAACATCAAAGTGAAACCCAAGGATAATTTAATATTTATATTATATTTTTTATTAAGTCAAAATAAAAAATTTTACAAATTTTACTTGTTTTTTATTTTAAAAAAGTTAAAATAAAAATATATTTAATGTTGAAAAGGTAATTACAATCGGAATGGGATGAGTTCAGGTAGTAAAGGTGAATTTCTAAATGGATTTGAGATGAGATCAATTACTTAATTTTTAATCGAGTTTGGATTCAAATAATGCATATTCAAATAATGCATTTTAAGCGGATATCTGAACTGTTGTTATCTCTTGTCTTGTACACGTGCTTCCGCAGCTGGGTTAGGTTTTTGTAAGTTGAAAGTCGCTTCAGTTGTTTTAATCTATTTCACCCACCTCACGTGATTTACAGATGATTTTTCTGTGTAATCCTACCCTTTTGCCGTTCATTCAAATGACATCTCTCCTTGATATCCTTGTAAACACAATGTATAAAAATGCACAAAATATATATATATATAGTATATATATATTATATTTATATATATTTAGTATATATATATATATATATGATTTGCGCTATTGATATTTCGGCTTGCATGGCTGCCGCTATTGATATTTCCGGCTTGCCATGCAGGATGAAAATACTTGATTGAAAATATTTTTAGAGTTAAACACTTGATTGCAAATGTTTTCCATTGAAACAACAATTTTATTATTAAGCCTTATATTTATAATCTATTATCTATACTATATATAAATATGAGAATAGGAGGAGAATAATGAAATTTCTATAATAGCCTTAGATTAATTTGGAGTTCCTAATATATTCATTTAGTTAGATTTTTTTATGTATTTTAATTGGAGTAACCATTTATCCTTTTAAAGATTCTTTTTATTGTATTTTTTTATTGTCTTTTAATTAGAGAAAATAGATTCCGTTTATCCTTTTGAATATCCTTTTAGTTAGATTTTTTATGAATTTTAATTGGAGAAAATATGTATATATATTTTCTCTATTTGATTTTGCATCAAATAAATTTTAATGTTTTTAATTCTGAGTTCTCATGTGATATTGTTTTGTAGAAGGTAAATCGAAAACCTTAATTCATGTATTGAAAATGAAATTTTTAACTTTTAATTATTATGTTCTGATTTTTTTTTTTTTAAATATGGGTAAACCCTTTGCTATTAAACTCTATTAGCTAAATAGAATGAAATTAAAATAAAATTTTTAAAATATATTCTTTCTTTTTGATTTTTTTTGAAAATGATGATATACACTTATTTGAACTATTTACACAATATTGTATTTGATTACTATCATCTAAAAAAGTTTTTCCTTTTTTAATCTAATGAAATCTCATTAAGAAATACGCTATAAAAGTTTGAATTAATGAAAAAAAAATATTGGGATATATTTGCTATCATTTTCATTTTCAATTTTTCTATGGACCGAATGCATAAAATTCCCTCTAAACTTTTCTATTTTAATTATTTGTCACCATTAACTTTACGAAGGACCTAATATGTATCGAAACTTTTAAATTTTGTAATTATTATGCCTTTTTTTGCAATTAAAAAACTCATTAAAATTTATTCGTTGCACACACGATGATGTGTAAGATAATGCTCACATGTAAAAAATAAAAATGAATTAAATTTTGTTCATCAATGTCAAAAGTACTATAAGAACAATCCAGAACTACTCTGCTCCATTCATCGTAATATCTCTATGGCTAACAACTCAACAATAAAAATGATAAAAGAAAAATCATTACACACATCTAATACAAACATCTAAATGATTATTTCTAAATTTAAACTACAGTAAAAATTTTACAAGAAGAAAAAGAAGAAGAAGAAGAGTATTAATATCAAAATTGTAATAAAAACAAAATCTTTTCTTCTCATAAGAGGTCTCTCTCAAACCTTCAAAAATCCTATATTTACTAGCATGAGCTTTATCTTTCATCAAATCGATGCTAGATGGAGATTTGTGCATGCAATATAGAAAAATTGATAATATTAGAATTGATTTTAGAGATTTTAAGGATCCAAAATCCAAATTTCAGAAATTTTATGGTAATAAATTAAGGAGAAGAATAGAAAATTGAAAAGAAGAAGAATAAATGTGTGTAATGATTTTGAAAGATCGAAAAGAAGAGGAACAGAGAGAGAAGAATGAAGAGAAAGATTGAAAATTATGAATTGTGACGCTTTGGAATAGAGAGAAAACCGACATCATTTTTGCCATGCTGGACTTTTAATCAGTGATCACGCCCCATTTCATATTTGGTTTCATGTGCTACCTTTAATCCTTGGGGAAGGATATAATAGTTATAAAATTTAAAAGTTCAAGCGCATATTAGATCCTCTACAAAGTTAAGGGTGACAAATGGTTAAAGTAAGAAAGTTCAGGAGGAATTTTATGCATTCACCATTTTTCTTTATTAAATATGAAATGATGAAAAAATTCAGGAGCTCTCTTTTTATTCAGTATTTTATTCTTTTTTTTAATTTATAGAATTTTATTTAATATTTCTAAGATTTAATTGTATGTATTTTTTTATCACGACCCGAAACCATGGGTCGGACCGGCACTAGAGCGCAGGTAAGCTTAAGGCCCCCGAGGCCCGTAGTAATCCTGAATCACTAAAATTCCACTTTTCAATATTCAAACATTCAGCCCATATTACTATACAAAATAAATCTCATAAATATTTTATATCTCGGCCCAAATTTAACATCTTAAACATTTCACGGATTGAATCCAATTTACAATACGTCACATTTATAATATGGGCTCTCCAATTCATTTCATCTATATTAATACACGACTAAATATATGTGAATTCTATAACTGTGGAGTCACTAACTATTTGATATACATAGCTTTTTATACGTATAGTTACATAGTAAAATAATTATGGAACTAGAAAAATTTCTTTATTGCCCTCCAGCGAAGAAACATAACCTAAATCGAATTAAAGATAAACTTACTTCCTGAAAAATTAAACAAGACATGTGAGTTTTCTAAGGAGTAATAATTATAATTTCTATTATAGATAAATTCTGATTATGAATTTATATATATTTACAAGTAATTTCTACAGCATTGAGTATAAATTTGTTAGTTAGTATATTTTAACTTTCACGACCGTAAAAACCGATAAAAGGTTGATCGGTCTCTATTTGTAAACAGGCTAAGAGCGCAGGTAAGCTTAAGGCCCCCCCGAGGCCCGTAGTAATCCTGAATACTATAAAATTCCTTCACACTTTTGTCAAATAATTCAAACATTTCAGACCCATATTAAACTAATCAATGAAAATCTCATAAATATTTTTATATCTCGGCCCCAAATTTAACATCTTCAACATTTATAACAAAACGGGATTGGATATTCCAATTTACATTACGTCAACATTTATAATATGGGCTTCCAACTTTTCATTTATCTATATTAATACACCACGACTTAATTATATGTGATTTCTAATATACTGTGGAGTCAACTATTTGATATACATAGCTTTTTATACGTATAAGTTACAATAGTAAAAATAATTATGGACTAAGAAAAACTTTCTTTATTGCCTCCAGCGAAGAAACATAACCTAAATCGAATTAAGGATAAACTTTACTTCTTTGAAAAATTTTAAAAATACAGGACATGGTGAGTTTTTCCTAAGGAGTAATATTTATTGGCACACACAACCGCATTCACACTTCAAATGTGTAATATATTAATCTAGTAATCGACTATTTATTGCTCACGGCAGGTCAGTCCAACAAATGGCATATCACCAGCACTCACTAATTATTAAGCATCTTTAATATAATGCACTCATGTGTTTTTCGTTTTGGAAATTAGTCAAGTGGCGTCACGAACCCATAAAGCTGTCTTCATTCACACATAGCTTTGTCTCTCTACGGTGTGCACTAAGGGGAGCCGATCCTCCGTACATGCAGCGGTCTAATCCTCACTTTGACAGCCCTTCTTGTTTTTTCCATTCTCTCTTTTCTTTTCGTACAATAGGAGGCACCACTAGTGGTTTAATCCATATTATCCACATAGTATATCCGATCACACGGGGTGCCCCGGAATCCCGCTTTTCCCATTTATGGCACCGGTCTTGTGGACCAACCTTTACAAACCATGGTGACCCCATTTCATCCCAATTTCCACACAAAATACAAGGCTAGCATGTATCACAACCACAATTAATCAAGTATTGCAATTTAAGCATATTAATCAATTAAACATCGTAATGCAATGCACAATTAGACATCCCCATTCAAATGCAAATAAACAAATAAATAGTATTAAAAATAAACAACAATAATAAAATAAATAATAACAAAAA